GCCCTGGGGATGCCGGTGCGGGCGGGCGGGGGCTGCCAGCCCGCAGGGAGCGTACCGCGGATTCCGCAGCCGTTTCCGCGATGCTCGATGTGCAAACTTGGCCCCAAAAAATTCCTCCTTTCTCCTAAAGACCTGCACAGTACCGCTGGTCGTTAATAGTGGCTGCGAAATAGAGCGGCTGGTCTCCTGATTAGAATGTTGACAAGGCTAATTATTTTATTTTGGAATCCAGAAAATCACGGCAGAGATGGCCGCGTTTCTGCAGAAGTTGCGTCAGAAGGTGAAAGTTGGAGTCGTGGGTGGTTCCGATTTTGAGAAGATTAAGGAGCAGCTTGGCGATGACGGTAAGGACAGCAGCTGATGCAATCCCCTGCACTGAATTGCTTACCAGGAAGTCGTGAAGGTTAAACATAGGCTAAGCCCTCTTTGTTCTCCTCCTTCCTTGCTTTTAACTTTTTCCTTGGTTTTGTCGTTGCGCTCAATCTATGAAAAGCTTTTTACAAGCGTTTAGAAACTGCAGCCTGTGTCTGCGTTTTGCAGATATCTCAGTGTCTTATTAACGTTATTAAAGTGAAATCCTGGCTTTGTGAAGGAAGGCGTTTTAACGTTGTCTTTTTAAAATGGAATTCTGTACATACCATAGGTGTGCAGCTTGCTCAGCTGTCAAGCGCATCCCTGAAGGATCTGATTTTATTAACTGGGGTTACAATGCAGAGATGGACTCTTGCTTTAGTCCTCTGAGAGGCGTTTCCTTTTCTGTATAAAAGACTGCCTTTACTGGTCGTTATTTATTTGGTGCCATTGATGGCCTTCTGTTATGCCCAAACAACTCACAGTTTGCTTGGCTTACAGGTGCTCTCCAGTAAGCCATATCGTCTTGCATTGTACTAAGATTCTCACAACTCTCATACATCTACTGTAGATTAGGAACATCGAGAAAACCAACCTACAGTGGTGGTATTTGATTTGCGCTCTAACCAGGCTCCGTGCCAGGTTTTTGTCTATTTGAGGTGTCCAGTCACTTCCTTACATTTAATGTAGAGATGTACTTGCAGGAGAGGAGGAGCCTTTGAGCAAAAAGACAGATAACTTAATGGAAAGACTTCATGTGGTTTGAGGTGTGTGTTAATCTTGGAGAGAAAGGAGAGTGGCTTTGATCTTGTGCTCAGTGTTATGCTGCTGAATCTTTCATGCTTTATTTTAATTTTTATTTTAATTTTAATGTTTGTTGTCTCTTAACCTAATTCTGCATTAAACATACAGAAGTACAAGTTACTGTCTTTTTGTTTGGTTGCAGTGGTTGAAAAATTTGACTACGTTTTTCCTGAAAACGGTCTTGTAGCTTACAAAGATGGGAAATTCTTGAGCAAGCAGGTAAGTGTGAAAATTCCAGTAATGTGAAAGAGAAGTTTTCTAAACAAGATTTTGCTTTGTCACTACACTGCAGTCCTCTATGATCACCCTTCAAACTAAGGGCAAAACTGCTGCTGTTTTCATGGGTTACTCCAGTAGCAGATCATTCATTAGGTGATGGTTCATGTAATGACAACCTGCACCTTGGCCTTTATTCTTTGGGGTATTCTCCAAATCAAAAGCTATTGGAGTGTCTGATCAAAAAAAAGAAGAGTGAAAATCCTGGAACGGCCTTTCCCTCAGCTTAGCCCTAGGAAATGTGGCCAAGCCCTCTGCTCCTGGAGGCTCTGTGGAATAAGGCATTTCATAGCTGGTGTCTCTTGGGCCTTAGGGTTCTTGTAGATCTCTTGCAGCTTCTTTTTAGTATTAATTCAGAGTGCACACTGTGATGTGTTGTATAAGCTAGAAGGTAAATACTCTAAATTAATATACTTCTGATTCTGGATACCCTAATCATCTTCATTGGTTCAACATAAGTAATGGAGATGATTAAGAATACAAAAGAACCTGGCTGAAATTGCTGACTTGAGCAGTGGTTTCCAATTTACTGCGGTAATGGTCTCCATTTCTTCACACTTGGCTACAGTAGACATTAACTGCAATTTTTTGTCTAGGTCTGCTGTCTTTGGGCCATGCTGTTTTCTTCTAAAGCGAGTACTAGTAGGGAGCTTATTAAATGAGAGTTTGGAGTTACGGTTTAAAAAAACCAAAGTAAACAAAATTAAAAATGAGAACCCTTAGTTAGTACCATGTGTGCATCAACTGCGAGTTCCTTCCTGAAGGCACGTTCCTTTGTGGTACTGACCATGCCTGATTATCCGCTGTCGGTGTTTTCCATGTGACTTGTTTTTAGAATCTCAAGTTCTGGACCTTTGGTTAACTGCTGTTTGTTTTGTTAGAACATTCAGGGCTACCTGGGCGAGGACGTACTTCAAGATGTAATCAACTACTGCCTGAGTTACATTGCGAAGATTAAACTGCCCAAGAAGAGGTCAGTGCATACACACATCTTGGTGTCACCGTATCCTCGGTGTTGTAGTGTTGAGCATCGGTATGTAAAGCAGGCTGCTCAGCAGAAACCCAGTAATTTGTTTTAGGAACACTGTATATGTGGAACAGCTCGGTTTAGGCACACAAAGACAAGCTCCCAGCTGAAGCACAGGATTTAAAATACTGATTCAGCATTTTTACTTAAGAGGGAAGGAAGTTCAGTTTTGAAGTCGGAGTATTTCCTTGGCGTGTTTGGAATTCAGCAGCATAACGTTTCCAGAGATGAGGAGCGTGCAGTCAGGTCAGCCCTGTGAGACACGAGAGGGTGCAGCTGCTCAAAGCATTAGTGCAGTTAACAGGGAGGGAGGCTCTGCCAGCCTGCCCAGAAACACCCCCAAGGACGCTCTCCATTTCGCTGCTTCACCCCAGAGCTGACAGGCTGGCTTCTCGGGGCTGAGAATCGGGTTGACAGGGTGCACTAGTCACACTTTTAAAACCAAATCATACTTCTAAAAGGCAGTAAGGATGATGTTGAGGTTGCCAGATTCAAATAAAAGTCCAAAAGACTCCTTGATACCAGAGGTCCCTACCTCTGTTTGGGGGTTTTTGCATACAGTGAGAGGCTGAAGGAGACAGCTGATGCCCATTGTCTTCAGAATTAAATGAAAGTTCATTTTGATAGTCAGTATTTTGAGCAGTTTTTCATTGTTTTCTGTTTCATTAATCGAGTCTTTTTTCAGGGGCACTTTTATTGAGTTCCGAAACGGGATGTTAAATGTGTCCCCCATTGGAAGAAGCTGCAGCCAGGAAGAACGAGTTGAGTTCTATGAACTTGATAAAGTGAGTTACAACTCTTGAAAACTATCCAACTCTTCTGGAAGAGGCAGTTATGGCCAGGTTATGGATTTTAAAAAGCTTCTATACATTATACATTTTTTTTCATTTTAATCACTTCCATGTGGTTTAAATAACTTCTTCCTTCAGACTTCAGGAAATATATAATAGGGGGTTTTTTTGTTGCAATAGTTAATGATGATTACTTGCAGAAGGGGTGGGGTTGGCTTATGTTTCTTTTAACCCTATATCCAGAGTACTGACCATCCTAAACATCTGTACACGGGGTTCCTGAAAAACCCTGTCGTAGATAAAACTGTACTTGGGTGCCTTTCAGTATACCAGCCTCTATCCATTCGAATCAACAAAAAAATATTCTTGTCAACTCTTTTAAAGCCTTTTAAAGCTGAATTTTAAAACTGAGGTCAAACTATTCACCATTTATTTTCATTTGTACACAGCTGAATGTGCAAGACTGTCAGAATCTGAGCCATGGTATCAGAGTTCTGTTCCCTGCTCCACCATAACAAATGTTTCTGACCTGATACAAAAACTGAAATCTCAGTTCCTCAAAATCAGCCTTTTTCTGTGACTTGGTTAATGGATGCTGAAAGATATCTAGGTCCAAGGTATTCTGAAAACACCCTTTCTGGAGTATATGGCATCAGAAGATGAGTATCAGTTTTGAGATTCTTCTGTGCCTCAGTCTCCCCATTTGTCAAACTGAATTTTACCAGGAGGTGAAACATACTTCCTCGGTATTCTAAGATTTTCAGATAGAAAAGCAGATATCACAGCATGTATGTGAAGTCATGCTTTTGTTTTTACAAGTTGGTAACACATTAAAGTGGAAATATTTTCAGCATGCTTTCAGTAATAATAAAATATATCTATGTCACCCTAGTCCTGGTACTTAGATATTTTTTTAGGTTATCTTTTTATTGATGAATTGACACAGCATGTAACTGGTGTTTTCTTTTGTTGTTGTTGTTTTTTTTTAACAGAAGGAACATATAAGAGAGAAATTTGTAGCTGATTTACGAAGAGAATTTGCAGGAAAAGGCCTCACATTTTCTATAGGTATCACGTTAAAAGAATTTAATTTTAAACATCATTTAATGTAAATTTTACTTAAGTCATATCCTCTTACGGCTATGACATGTCCTATCTCATTTGTGTGACAGTTATCTCTGGGGGTGGTTGCAGACATTGCATGTAGGACTAAGCCTCTTCTTCCCTCTTAGGCTTTCATTTGGTACATTTTAATTGAAATCCATCAACAAAGAGAACTTCATTGCTTGTCATCAGTTCAATTGTCCTTTAATGTCAGTTGTGTGACTGATTCTGCTCATTTTGAAAGATATTACGTGCTTCTGATTAGTCAAGAGTTGTTCCTGCGAATCAATTTTGATCAGAAATACTACATCAGTTCTGTTCCCTTGGTTCTTCAGCTCTCTAGCTGCATTGTGTGGGAGGAAGGAAAGAAAATCCAAAAGCAAGTGCAAGCTTAAAGAGAAAAGGGATAATAAGGGCGAATTAATTTTCCATGATTTTTTTTTTCCCCTCTCCCTCAATATATTACCACATTCTTGCCTTTTATTATTTTTCAGAATTATGAACAAGTGTGGTTGCCATTAGTGCTGTGGTATTGAGGCACTAAGCAGGAATGAACTGCACTATTGCTCTCCTAAAGCACCTTGTAAATACCTTTTTGACACCCGCTTCAACTGGGAATCACGCTTTCATGTGTCAGTGAAGCCCAAGGATCAGAACTGGAACAGGACAGCTCCTGTTAGGCTGGTTTCCTCCTTTTTCTGTCCTGAAAACTTCAGAAAGTCTTTGCATAAGACTTTGTGGCTGTACATACACTTGATGCCTGTATTCATTCATGTAGTTTCTTTCTACAAGTAAAAAGATTAAGTGTAATTTTTAAAAATAGGTTCTGTTTGAGAGCAGTGAGTGTTTGGGAGCATGCTAAGACCTTCGCATTTCTTTAATAGGGAAATAATAATCTGTAAATCACAACTGTAATAACTGATACCCTATAAAACATTTTCTGTACTTGTAAGGCTTAACTCCAGGGTCTTGTAACGTTTCTGTGACTCCTGCAAAGCTCCCTCTACCAAAAAATCTTACCCAGTTTAGGTTTTCTCACTTACTCTCCCCTCAGAAATGTGTTCTTATACTAAAACAAAGTTTGCTTGGCTCACGTCTGTCCTAGGAGGCCAGATAAGCTTCGATGTGTTCCCAGATGGCTGGGATAAGAGGTACTGCCTAGGAGTCATTGCCAACGATGGATACAAGACTATTTATTTCTTTGGAGATAAGACTATGCCAGTGAGTACATTTTGTATATACGTTTCAGAGTGTTTTAAACCACAAGCACTCTAGGTTCTAACCAGTCACCTTCTGCCTGATGAGAATTGAAGTCAGGCTATAGCTACGTGTCTGTGTTTAAGTGTCTGTGTGTTACTGGTCAGCTGGGACGTACCTGTGAGCACAGATTTTTATTCTGCTGCCTGAAGTGAACACAGTGTTCCTGACAGACTTGATAGAGTATGTTTTTAAACTGAACTTCTGTAATTACATTAAAAACCTAGGTGACATAACTACGTAAAACTGATTATCCTGTTTGGTTACTGTAGATTGATGCTTCTTGGTGGCTGGTGTTTATTAAACCTATTTGTTTTCCATTAGATTTAATACTGTTCCTTCGCTAACCACTCTGTCTCCACGTTGAGGAGCTGGAATTATACATAATCCCCGTCCCTTGTCACAGCTAAACAGCTCTGCAGGGTGGGTGATTCAGAGGCTTTTGAACACACTGAGCAGAGACCTGACCAGAGCTAGTGAGGGCAACAGCAAGCACATGGACATGAGGGAAATCAAAGGTGTCTGAACATGGCCAAGGGATGGTGTCAGGCTAAGTTTTACATGAATAGGCTTAGTTTTATAAGAACTTACAGTTTTATAACTGTAAGTTACAAGAAACTATAGCTTAGTAAATTTTAAAAGGCCAAGTTTTATAAGAAAAAGACAGGCTTTAAATTAATTTTTTTTTTCCCCTTGACAACAGCTGCAGAAGTAATCACCTGTTGTAATCACCAGGCCCTCTGGCATAGAGTTTATGGACAGTTAATTTTAAACCCTGTAATTAGCAGTGTGGCATTTTCAGGGTTTTGAAGTAGCAGGAGTTGCTGCTGACTCACTGGAAGGCAGCGTGGCAAGCAACCTACAAAAAGTAGGTAACTGGCTCCTGTATGCACAAAGCTGTGGCTTTTGGGGATCTCTGCTCCTGTGCCTTTGTTCCCTGAGCCAGCTGTGAAGGGATCTTTCATTGCCCTCCTGTGATCAGAAACCAGTTACAATTGTCACATCAGACCAGTAGCTAGCAAGGCCAAAACACTACTGCAGTAGTGAAGGAGCAACAGTCTTAATGATTTAACTAAAAGGAAAGAAAACCAAGTTGGAAGGAAGAGGATGATGCAAGTGAGTTACAAATACCACGTGCTGGTGTAGTGCTCTGTGACAAGCTTTACTCCCTAATATTAACAAGTAAATAATTTCTAGAATTCAGTACTGGGTTGCTATACAAAACTAGGAATGTGGCTAAACTTACAGAGAGCTCTGTTCCTTCTGTACCACTGCTAACGTGGGGGTCAGGGAGGTCTCATGCACATGGTTGTGGTGTTGAGCAGAAGGTTCAGCACAGGTGTGCTAGAATATAAACAAAACATTATGCAAAAATCTCAAAATGGTGGTTCCTGGATTTTTTTAGCTTTTTGGAAGACATCTGAGACATGACTGTGTTACCACAGACTGGTTTGGGTTGGAAGGACCTTACAGACCATCCAGTTCCAGCCCCCTGCCATGGGCAGGGCCACCTTCCACCAGCCCAGGTTGCCCAAAGCCCCGTCCAACCTGGCCAGGAACCCTTCCAGGGAGGGGGCAGCCACAGCTGCTCTGGGCAGCCTGTGCCAGGGCCTCACCCCCCTCACAGGGAAGAATTTCTTCCTTACATATCATCTAAATCTGCTCTCCTTCAGTTTATTAGCCCTCATCCTAACACTACATGCCCTTGTGAAAAAATCCCTTCTTTCTGTAATTTCCTTTGTGTGTCCCTCTTCCACTCCAAGACTGTGACTATACATTAAGTTAAAATAAAATTCTCTTCTGGTTTTTTCCTTTTCTGTTTCCAGGGAGGGAACGACTATGAAATTTTCACAGACTCCAGAACAGAAGGCCACAGCGTCACATCCCCACAGGATACAAGAAGAATCTGTGAAGAGCTATTTTTTAAATAAAAGACTTTTAGAATTCACACTTACAAACGGTTAAGACAGCTTTATAACTCAAAACGTCTTCGTTCTGTATTGCTTTTTGTAATTGCTCATGAACAGCAAGTGCTTTGCAGGTCAGTCTTCACTGAAAGGTTTTAATTGAAGAGAACCTTGCTGACCATGGAATACAGCAGAACTCACTGAGCACTGTCCTTCACTGTTTCTATTCACGCAAGTACTTTTGTTTTCTTTGTGGTTATGTTTTTTGGATTAGTTTTTAAGTCATCAGTAACTATTCCTTAGCTAATTAATTACATGACTTACGGTCTCAAAATTAGCCTGCAAGGCTCTATCCCTAGTTTTTATTTTGAAGCTGCTATTCAAAAGATGTTTTAAGAACTGTTTTTTCAAAATAGTACCTTGTGCTATGAAGACATCGGTTAATTATAAGACAGTTGGGATTTTCTTGTTTAAAACTGGAAGATGAGTAAAAGAGGCAGGTTTTATTTCCTTCTGGGTGTGGGAAGATGGATCTGAGCCACAAGTCCCTGACCTCACCCCTGTTGCAGTGTATGCTCAGAGTCTCCCACCACGGGCGAGGCTGGACCAGCTGGTGCCAAAGTTACCTCCTCGGTAGAGATGAGGTGCCAGTACACAGTACAGTTCATAGTGCCTGCACTTTTTGCAGACTTTTTAATTCTAAAAAATAAATTTATAAAAATTAAAATAACTTGAGCACAGTAGCAAAATGTATTTGTCACTAATTACATTTCTGATTTTCCTGGTAAGACATGAAGGGTAGATGAGATTCTAAGTACTAAGAAAAATGACCTAAACTATGTTTCTATTAAAATTCAAGTTGAAGCATGACAATCAGTGTAACTTAATATTACTTTTCTCATCTGGCATTAGGAAAGAAATCTTGTGTATGAACAGTTTAATACAGTAAACTAATCTCACTACAATTTGTCATTTTGGCAAATAAAATCATGAAGCAGACCTGTTTGTGCTGCCTGTCTGTACAAGGAAATGACTGACTCGAATCTTTCCAAGTTTATGTGGAACTTACACAGTAAAAAGGGGAGAATCCCTTTTTGTGTACAAACTGAAATCCCCAGAAGGGCTGCTGAAGGAGGGGGAGCTGTGATGCATCAGAACTCTGGGTTTGCAGCAGTCCTGCCGTGCCTGCCTCCTCAGGGGAAGGGGCCAAGGGGAGCGGGGGTGCCAGGCTCTCGGGGCTGGGGCTCTGGCTGTTGGCCCCGGAGGTACCCAGCGGTTGGTTCCTGTCCTGCATGGCTGTTGCCTGTTATCAGCAGAAAGCTCCCTGTGCAGAACACGCTGTGCCAGACCCAACCCAGATTGTTTTCAGCCTCAAACACAATCCCCTGCGTGCACATACCTGCAGCCACTGCTGGTCAGCACTGTGCAGCCGCTGCCAAGAGCTAAGGGTTATCTCCTGCATCTCATGCCAGCAGAGGAAAAGCAAACTGAGTCTCTGAGGTGAGAAAAGAGAGACAACAAAGCAAAACAACCCACAGTGCCTAGTCCTTGGCTCCCCTCTTACCATCTCTAGCAGAGTTTAAATCAGGGGCAGGCACAGGCCTTCCTCCAGCTAAAGCTCTGCTGCAGGTTTTGACCAGGCTGATCTCTCCGGGGAGCCCTTTCTGAAACTTCCCCAGAGTTTCAGCTGAAATGACCAGGCTGTGCTACACCTCCCTGTCCCCCCCTGCTACATGCTAATACAAATAATAGCCAATATTAAATATATATAATATATAGAAATATTATATAATTAAACTAAATGTACAGAAGAAGCAGTATATATTACACACTAACCTATTAAGCAGCTAGAAAACTTGCTGAATTACTCCATAGTAGGTGTGGAAATGCCAGTCAGTTGATACTACCATGGTTTTTAAAACACTCAGTATCATCACACACGTGTGCATATGCAGGAACCCGCATTCTCCTGTCTTCAGTGCTAATCATCTTCAATGCCAACCGTGCAGAGAGCAGACTGAAGACGTGTGTTAAAGCATTATAATGGTCGCATTTATTTTAAAGGAAGCGGTGTGTGATATTTCAACAAGCTGGATAGTGTTAAATCCACCACTACTAAGTCTTACGGTTAATAAAAAACAAACAAAACCCCACTACAGGCTGGTCGTTATAGTACACTAGGGTGTAATACAGGTACAGCTAAGATAAAACAAGTCATGGCAGCAGTTTCCAGCCTCCTTACAACAGGTCAGAGCCTGGAACAGATCATCTGCCATGAAAGAAGAGCATTAAGCACATTTCATGGCAGGGACCTCTGCAAACAGGCAACTGAAGTTACACTGTTTCACACAACTAATAGAAAATTATCATGCCGTCTTTTTTTATTGTGGGTTTTTTTTATTTGCAAAGTCAATAAAAATCCAGTTAGGAACATAGAGAAAAATGCTTCATTTAAAAAAAAAAAAAAAAAAGAGATGTGGAAGGCAAATAGGAACAGAACTAAGTTAGTTGCACTACAACTACACGAAATCTTGCAGGCAGAGAAGAGTCAGAGCAAGGGTGACCATATCACATCCTACCAAGCAAGTTTTCCAGGGAAACAGCTGGAGAAACTACTTCACCGAGACAGCTGAGCCTACTAAGCAACACACGGTATTTTATACACAGTCATCTGAACAGCACACAACTTGCTTTTTCAGCAGCACAGTTACTCTGCCTGCCCAGCGGAATACCATGGCAGACATTCAGCTATATGCAATCAAGAAGATCATCTTCAGCTTCATCTAAATTCAGACACAGTCAGAGACTATGAAGTATCCACTACTCTACAGCTTTCTACCACTTACCTTGAAGCACATTTTTTAAATTTTGGTTTGCTTTTTGCCTTTTTTTTTAATTTTAATACTGGCCTATAAAATCTGTTGCTAATCAACCCTCAAGGCACCTAAGTAAATTCACAAACAATCCAGGCTTTAAAACCACAATATCCCACACCTAGGCAGACATGCTGTTTGCAAAGGGTCTACCTGAAGGGCACCCAGCTGTGGCCATCAGAGCGTAACCACCAGATGGAGATTTTACACCCTGCTCTGTTTGTGAGCTTCCTTCCGCGAGGAAAACAAACAGCAGCAACGAACATTCTTTCTCTCTCTCAAGCCAAGGCATTATCGGCAGAAAGCGTACTCCAACCCCTCCAGAAGAGCAACTCAAGTGTTCACACACCGCCAGGGCCTTGGAGTTGTGCCTCTGCTATGAGCACCTGTGCTAGAAGAGCTCTCCTGCACACCTCTCCCCGATTCCCCTGGAATCAGTTCACAAGATAAAAGAAAAACCAAACCTCCCCTCCTCCACCGAGCACACAAACTAGGTCTCTTTAAAATACATTTTTTGTAAACACATTACGCTAGGGTTTTTTTTCATTAGCATTTGAATTGCTTTTTTTTTTTTTTCCCCCAGGCCAGCTGTTAAAACGGTAATTTTGGCCTGCTTCTGCTTTATTGACAATGCAGTATTTCCTCCTGCACAATACGTAGAATATTCTTAGGACAGGTCCCCCGCAGCCAGGTGTTAAGCAGCGACCACGCCGGCGGCAGCCGCGCTCCCTCTGGGAGGCTCAGGAGCTGACGACGTGCCCGGACCAGGTCTCGTGCTTGGTTCCAGGAGCCAGATGGGTGATCACCACCTCCACCGCCTGCAGCTTCTCGTTCTTCGGAGGGATGGTGCACATCTTGTAGGTGACCTCATCACCTGCCACAGGAACGTATTCGCCTTCGATACTGTGGATGGGAAGCTTCAGTTACTCCTAAGTCACGTAAACACTCTTACACTTTTGCAGCTTTTAAAAATTTTTATTGTAATGATTATCTTAGGTGCTTAAGATACTCCAAGTTTGTTTATGGAGCCCATCATCCACCAAAATTTTGGTTGTCTTGCAGAAAAATCCTAGGAAAACACTATAAATACCACCACCACGCTAAAATACCAACAAACAAACAAACACAAACAAAAAAAAAAATCCTCACAAAAAACCCAAACCAAATACAGAAAACTCACTCTAATATGCCTTAAAAAACAATCAGGTGAGCCCAGCCTTGGACAACATTTCTGTGAACCGTGCCATAGCCTCTTCCTCACTGGCAGCACTAGAGGGCAGGGCTGACACTGTTCAGCACTTCGTTTGGGGATCTGGTTTTTTAAACTATAGGAAGTTCGCAGGTTTTTTTAAATCTCCTCTCACTTAAGTTTTTGAAGTTTGAGTGGGGTTTTTTTTCTTTTTTTTTTTTTTAAGAAAGGTTATATCATGCCAGTCATTGATTTTCCCTTTGTGTTACTCCACCATAACACAGTTTGTCTGTGGCATGAAAAAAAAAAAGAGCCCCAGTAAGACAGTGTCAAATATTTCAAAATGACTTGCTGTGGAAAAAAAAAACCCACGGAGTTCTGTGACCCTGATGCGTTACACTGCAGAAACTCATCCTGCAGACAGGAATATTTCCAAGAGTCGCTCACTCCTGCCTAGCCTCTATCAGCGTGACGACGTGGGATGCGAGCCCTTCTCTGGAAACACTGGGAAAGGCAAAAGGGCTGTCACCTTCTGTGCAGAATGATGTACTGATGAAACAGAACTGCAAAGGGTAACAGCCTTCCTCACCTCTACCACTGTGTTCGAGATCAAAGCTTTTTAATAAAAATCCCAGCAGGCAGCAATGAAGACAGGCAGAGATGCCTTCCAACCTGCATTACCAAGATTCTCTGGCAGTTCAAAGGTTGCTACTGCACCTTTCTTTAAATATACCTACAAAATCCCATGCTCGGGGTCCCCTGCTCTGACAACCTAGGCTCTAGATTTCTTGTTGTTTGAGGAGGGGGTTTTTTTTCAGTGTTTTTCATCAGCCTTTAGTGTTTATCAGTTCACAAATACAATTATAAATTCGACTGGATGCCTAATTGGTATGACTTGTGTACTCAGGCTACACCGGGGGTAAGACTTGGGTTCAGGTGGCAGGAGGAGAAGCTTTCTAGGTCAGAAATTTGGCACACACAGTTGGGTTTGTTATTTGCCTTTGTTCAGAGCATACTGGGAACATGCACGACCCAGGAACTTTACCATACACGTGTTCCTGTTAATTGCAAGATTTTAGCAGTGCCCTTCATATCCACTCTTATGTTTTGACCTGTTACTGTTACCGCTTCTCTACTGCGGGACAGACTGGTAGGACTGACAGCAGGTAAATATACTGGCCCTTACTGCCAGCTGTAACTTCATACCACGTTTTGCTTCCCTCCCACAGTTATGCAGAACTTCTTGAGGTTCATCGCCTTGCACTGCCTCTCCCCCAGCTGGGCTGCCCCAGCTTCTGCTCCCCTCGGACTTGTTCATGGAGACTGCTGCTCAGAGAGCTGCGGCCCCAGGCTGTGGCTGAGCAGAAGCTGCCTGTACTCAGGGGTGAGACAGGGTAAGCACACGTGTACAAGGGAAGCTAAAACTGACCCATAAATTATAACTTCTCCCATGGGAAATTCAGAAGAAAAAAGTCATTGTTTGCTAACTGATTGTATCAACATGATATTGAAAATGCTCCTGTATCTAAATATGGATCTAGAACCTGCTAAGCAGAGTTAAAGGCATTCCCAAGGCCTGGGGCTTGAAACATGTCCTTCAGGCTTTATTTCCCTGGGCTAAACCCCTACTGCAGAGCTGCCTGTGACTGCAGGAATCAGACCCAAGAGGGCACGTCCCAAGCTGAACTCTTCAGAGCAGTGCCTGGGAAAACAGCAGTAAGTGGAAGGCAGAAAAAATATTTACAGAGAAGTCAAGGTAAAGCCTCCTTTATCAGATCTGACAGCCCTTTCCTCCCCACACAGGCTGATCCGACTGACCCTTATTTACTTTCAATGTCTCCAGGCCAACCTGTCAGCCCAGCCCTGCACCACACTGGACAGACTATGTTCAAGCTCCCGCATCTATACTCTTGCTGTGGCTGTCCCTCTTCAGTTATTGCCTTTCTTTATATTCCACTTCCCCCATTTTTAACAGATTTAATACAGTATTGCCACCAAATTCTCTTCAGTTTATCTTAACTTTGAAACAGAAGATTTCAAGTAAGGATAAGAAGATGTCACTTGTACTGTCACAGAGCCTGACAAGTGAACATGAAAGCCTGAGAAGGGACACCGGAAAGGGTCAAACCATGAGTGAAAATAGGAATTCCATGAACATAAAATGACGTTTTTCCAACTTCAATGATCCCTTGTTGCCAATAAAAAATGTTGCTCTTGAGCTAAAACCACATTGCCATGAGCAGTAACTCACAAGCCCCGCAGGATGTCAGGCCACCTGAGCAAGACAGCCTCTTTCAGTGGAAGGCAATACAGCACAGGCATTTTATCCTGTGGAAGGAACACGGGACTAGCAAAACACAGCGAGCAGAAACATTTCCCAGCTCAGATGTAATGAAGGCAGACAATACGAGCTGAAGCGGAAAGTCTACACTGACTCAAATACAGCTGAGCCACCGAAACGAGCCGTACTGAAACATGTTTCTTCATGTGGCCTCAAGCACTGGGACCAGCTGCAGACAGTGTTTCAGGGAGCAGAGAAGTTACGTGGGGCTGGAACTGAGGCAGCAGCTCCTCTTGACATTACAGCCGCCCACTTCACAGCCCCGGGTACTGCCTTTGATCCCTGCACAGAGGATGAACACGCACAGCGAGGGGTAAGCTCAGAGTCACCACTTCGCCGGCATCAAATGAAACGGATGCCCTGCCCAGGAAGGGATCTCGTGTTTGGCTGAGAGTTTTTTTTTTTCTAACAAACAGGAACCTTACATGTTCTTTAAACGCTCTTGTAGAACAGGATGAGATGCAGTTAGCGAAATAAACATTTGAAATCTGCAAAAGGTATCAGTGGGTATGGTCAGTGTAGAAGGAAAGTGGATTCACACTGTCTCCTGAAGCACCAAAGACGTGCCAATACACAAAGGCAGGGTTTTAATGTCCTGAAAAACAGAGATAAATTAGATGTCACTTGAATCTTCACATTCAAGTGAGAAGTACAGCTTAAGTGCTAAAAAAAGAAAGATGAGTGTTTTGTTGGGGGTGAGTTTGATTTAAAATTGAAATATGAATATATACCAGGATGGGTTCTGGTAAGGAAGGGGTTGTAGATATACTGATTACCAAAGTGGTCCTGTTTTTTCCAAGAAATTAAGAACAACTGCATCAATACACACAGAGAAATGGAATGCCTAACGTACGATGGGCTGCAGTTAGAGAGAGGAGAAGCCAAGGGACTAGCCCACACTGGAGGAGTCTCAGCTACCACTGAAAGGCACTGCATCCCTCAGCACTTGTTAGATGACTCTTCAGGGTACTCTCTAGGGTCTGCACAGGGTGGGGGGAAAAACAAACCCAAAACATTTGCTGACCCAAATTTCTTACACTTGAATCATGAGGTTAATTACTCCTGTCCTTTCTACTAACCAGATGACATTAGCCCTAAAAATCTGCCAAGCCCTAAACATTACCCATAGAATTACACTTTTCTCCACCAGAAAACACTTCTTACAGGGCTGAGCATTACACTGACAGCATCAGATCCTTTCTTGGTTTCTTTCCTTAACCAAACTAACTACGAGAGACTGAAGCTTGTGATAAAACCTCATTCAACCCCAATAATGGCTTCTTCTCATCCCCTGGTTTGTCCTACTTCTTTCCCTGCTTGTTGAGGTGACCTTACCCATCAAGACCAGGCCTGTCCTTTGCATCGCTGTGTAAAAAAAGGTTGTGGCCACAATCAGCTTGAATTTAATTTTCTGCTTTTGGCCTTCAAACGTTTCTCCCACAGATCAGATATTCTTTTCTTCCCTGCAGCTTTCTGATGACCAGTTATTCTTGGTGCTTACTGAATAGGAGACTATTAACTCATTGCCCCCAGTGCACATGAAAAGCAAGGGGACAAAGGTCTTAGTTTGCAGCCTGAGCAAAACCCGTTTGCCAACAGTGTTCCCAGCACAGTGTTTGCCCACCAAATGCTACTTCTGGCATAGATGCAGCCTTCCTCCAGCACTGTTATCACTACATGATGCTTGGAAGCAGGAACAAACAACATCCAGACCGTGCAGTACTTCTGGTGGTGTCAAGAAAGCACAACATAATGGCACTTGAAAGATGATGAGATGGTATGGCACTGGAGGCAGAGCCCTATACAAAGCTGCGGGAAGATCCTCCATCAGGAAGCAATTGCCTTAAGCGCTGGGAGGGAAATGAACTGGAAGAGATCTGAGAGAGTAAACAGAGATCTTGGAACAGATTCAGCCTACAACAGCCACTCTATATACAAAACAATACAAGTTACCTTGATAATTTGGTAGAGGAAGTTAAATATGGACTTTTAAAAATGTTATACATTGATTAAATATTTTTAGATCTGTATTTTTTTTACTTTTACCCTAACTATATATTAAACATTGATCTGGAGAAAAGTGAAGATTTCCACTGCTATTTAAGAGACTTGTATGCACATTCTATTCAAAATAACGGGTATCTATGTATCCAGGAATTTTAAGACACTTCAACAAATTCAGCTAAAAATAAATGCTTTCCTGATGTTAGTGTTGGGAGCGAGACACAATAGAGGGAGTTTTAGATTATCCAGCAACTCCCATTTCCCAGCTCAGCGCCAGTTGGGTACAGTGGAGCATTTATCCTGCACTATTTTTAGGGCACTGGGAGGTTATTAGGAAATTACCTAAATAAGGAATGTTCTAGTTCTTCC